ACGCAGCTGTTGGTTTGTTTTTCGCATTGTAACATCTTTAAAATCAGAGTATATCTTACAACCAGTGGCAGGTTACAGTTTAATTGGCAGTATTTTTTTTTCTTATTGGTTCCTAAAACAAAAATGTGTCTTCAAATGGATGACACTGTAGATTTGGTGAAATACAATCATATTTTTTGTTACAAGGAAGTACATTGTTCTCTTGTTTTTCTGGGAGGAAAAAAGAGAAGTCTCTCATGAAAATTCAAAGTTAGTATGCCTATTCAATTATCCAAAACAAAAGGCTATTTTACTAATGGCATTGTCCTTTACAATTGTTCCCCCTGCTCAGAATGCTGTTCTCTGAGGTTATCTCTGTGGCTTTGCTCCTTCACTCCCTTTGGGTGGCTGCTCAAACATCATCTGTCTCCACAGTAAAGGCTTCCCCATCACCTAATATGCTGCATATTTTAAAGACCGGCTCACTTAACAGTATTTCAACCCCTTTCTATCATGATGTTGTGTATAAGACTAGGGGTTGCTAAATCTCTAGAAACTGCATTTCCTAGACTCCCTTCCTGCCAGCATTTCTTAAGACCTAGCTGTCACCAAGAGATGAACCCTCACAGGAGGCAGGGTGAGTACTGTGAAGTGGTTGCATGATTGCATCCTTCTGGAAGTACAGTGGTAGAGGGGTTTTGGCTGAAGCTGTGGCAGAGGCTGTGCCGTGAGGCTGACCTCCAAAGCAGCTTCCTTGTACAAAGTATAGCTCTGAGAATCTTTTATTATAGCCATTCCAATGATTCAATAAACCAACTAGTTCCCCTTTCTGCTTATCACAGATGAATTAGATTCTTTTGTCTACAACTGAAACATGAGTATGGTAGACAAAAGAATGGCTCCTCCAAAGATTCACATCCGAATCCTTGGAGGGTGAATATGTGAATATGTGATCCAACGAGGCGAAAGGGACACTGTAGATGTGATTATGGGTATGGGCTTTGAGATGGGAAGATTATCTTGGATGATTTGGGTGGGCCCAATATAATCACAAAGGTCCTTCTAAGAGAAAAAAGGACTCAGAGACAGAGAAGGAGATGTAACAATGGGACAATGGAAGCAAAGGTCAGAGCGAGAAGGAGATCTTGTTGTTGTGTTATCTTCTTTTTTTTTTTTTTTTTTGAGACTGAGTCTCGCTCTGTCACCTAGGCTGGAGTGCAGTGGCATCACCTGGCTCACTGCAACCTCTGCCTCCTGGTTCAAGTGATTCTCCTGACTCAGACTCCCAAATAGTTGGGATTACAGGCATCTGCCACCATGCCTAGCTAATTTTTTATTTTTAACAGAGACAGAGTTTTCAACATGTTGGCCAAGCTCGTCTCGAACTTCTGACCTCAAATGATCTGCTGCCTCAGCCTCTCAAAGTGCTGAATTACAGGCATGAGCCACCATGCCTGGCCTTGTTTTCTTGTTTGTTTGTTTGTTTGTTTTTGGGACAGGGTCTCACTCTGTTGCCCTGGAATGCAATGGCACGATCTCAGCTCACTGCAACCTCCGCCTCCCAGGTTCAAGCAATTCTCCTACCTCAGCCAACTGAGTAGCAGGGACTACAGTGGTGCGCCACCATGCCTGGCTAATTTTTGTAGTTTTTTGGTAGAGACAAGGTTTCACCATGTTGGCCAGGCTGGTCTCAAACTCCTGACCTCAAGTGATACACACACCTCAGCCTCCTGAAGTGCTGAGATACACCAGGCAAGAGAAGGAGGTCTAAAGATACTATGTTGCTGGCTTTGAAAATACAGTAAGGGGGGATGAGCAGAGGAATGCAGGCAGCTTTTAGAAGATGGAAAAGGCAAAGGAGATTCTCCTCTAGAGCCTCCGGAGGGAATGTAACCTTGATCTTAGGACTTCTTTTTTTGAGACAGTGTCTCACACTTCCAGGCTGGAGGGCAGTGGCACGATCTCAGCTCAATGCAACCTTGGCCTCCTGGGTTCAAGGGACTCTCCTGCCTCAGCGTCTTGAGTAGCTGGGACTACAGGTGTGCACTACCATGCCCGGCTAATTTTTGTATTTTTAGTAGAGATGGGATTTCACCATGTTGGCCAGGCTGGTCTCTCCTGACCTTAGGTGATCTCCTCGCCTCGGCCTCACAAAGTGTTGGGGTTACAGGTGTGAGCAACTGCACCTGGCCGATTTTAGGACTTCTGATCTTCAGAACTGTAAGACAGAAAGCTTCTAAGACTATTTTAAGGATCAGTTCCAGTTCTACTAATTATGGTACAGAAGAAGTTAATAACTTTACTGGACCTCTTATCTGAAAGTTAAGGCAAAGACTGGGACCCAAAGAATTCAAATAGAGGAGCTTAGGAGACCTAGCTGACTCCAAGTACCTGAATCTCTAAATTCCCTGAGCCTTGCTTGCTAGCACAAGCAGTTTCTATAAAGACCTCATTGGAGGCAGTCACCTGCAGGGTAATGCTGTCTTCCCCTAGGTTCTATCCCATCATCCCTGTTTGCTTCCAGAACCACAACTAGAGTCAGATCACAGACTGTCCTTATGACCTTATTACAAAATTGCATGCCAGGTAAGTACATATTTGAAGGGAAAAAAAATTGGCAAGATTTGCTAATGTATTATGCTAGTTTTCTATTGCTGCTATAACAAGTTACCACAGCCTTAGTGGGTTCAAACTACACAATTATAGTCTTAGAGTTCTGGAAGTCTAAACAGGGTCAGCAGGGATGGTTTCTTCTGGAGGCTCTAAGGGAGAACAAGTTTCCTTGCCTTTTCCAGCTTCCAGGTTACCAGATTGGCTCATGACCCCAAACTACTCTGACCTTTGCTTCCTCATCACATTCTGTCTCTCCCTCTGACCCTCCTGATTGCTTCTCCCTTAGGAAGACCTTTGCAATGACACTGGATCTACCCACGTAATCCAGGATAATCTCCCTACTTCAAGATGATAAACCTGATCACAGCTGCAAAGTCCCTTTAACCAAGTTAAAGAACATATTCACAGGTTCCGAGACTAGGATGTGGGCACCTTTGAGATGCCATTTTTCTACCCACCACATATGTACTGGCAGAAACATGACGGTTATGTAGGTTATATATGGGAATGGATTTTGAAGATGCTTGATCAGCAAGAGAAGAAAATGCTGATATACTTCTATGTAGGGCTAAAATCACTGACATGATTATTCCTACTGGAGACCCTGGATTCGGTATTATTCTGAGTAGTTGGGAGAGGTTCATATTGTGCAACCAACTAGTTGACAAAACTTTGAATTGACAGTGACCTATACTGAATGAAGTTGAGTTGCCAAATATTATTTGATCTAATTTAGAGGAAATGATTTGAAAGCTTAAAGAGCTTGGAAAATTAAGGTGGATGATTTACCATATGTGATTTACCTCAGATAATCCCCTTAATACACATACACACAGTCCAACTATGCCCTAAAAGATACTTCCTATATCACAGCATTGAAAAATACACACATGAGGGGAACAAAAATGTCTCTGAAAAGCACAATAAAGGCTATCTGTTGATAGCTGGTCTGGAAGCAAAGGTTATAGATACTGCCATTGAAATGGACCCTCCAAAGTCAGTGGGAGTGATGGTATCCCAGAATGGTAATCCATTGTAGGGTAACACATAAATCCACAAATACAGTTTAAAGTCTTTATAAGCCTCTCTCAGTAATTGATATGATAAGCTGATAAAATCCGCAGATATAAGGAAAACTTGAACAGAGAATGAACAAGCTTGACCTAAATACTACATGTGAACACTGTAAAAACAATACAGATAGCAGTCTTTTCAGGTCTACCCATGTAAAAGGCTATGAAGTAACTCTCAATAAACTTCAAAAGACATAAAATCACACAGAATGTATTTTCTGACCATGATGGAATTTAGCTAGAAATCAACTAACAAAAGATACATAGACAAATACCCTAAGAATCCAGATTTTAAATAATGTATTTAAAAATAACTCACAGGTCATATTAAAAAAAAACCCAAAAATTAGAAAACATTTTAAACTGACTAATAAGATATGATATACTAAAAATGAGGGATGCAGCTAAAACCATACTAAAAGGGAAACAAAATAGTCTTAAATAAATACATAAGAAAGAGTTGAAAAGGATGATCTAAACTTCCATCTCAAGAGGCAATAGAAAGCAAATTAAAACTAAAAGCAGAAATAATAAGGATCCCACAGCCATGAAAATGATAAAAAAGATACTATGAGCAGCTTCATGTCAAAACATTTTCACACTTTAGATAGGAAAACTGACACAAGATGGAATGACAATCTAAACAGTCCTGTATCTTTTAACTGACTTAAATCCATAATTAAAAATATCCTGACACAGAAAGCTCTTAAGCCCTGACAACTTCATCACTAAATTTTTTCTGACATTTAAAGAAGAAACAACATAATTCTTATACAATAAACTCTTCCAGGGAACATAAAAAAAGGAGAACATTCTCCAGTTCCTTTTTTTTTTTTTTGCTTTTGGTGAGACAAAGTCTCACTCTCTTACTCAGGCTGTAGTGCAGTGGCTCCATCTTGGCTCACTGCAGCCTCTGCCTCCTAGGTTCAAGTGATTCTCCTGCTCGGCCTCCTGAGTAGCTGGGATTACAGGCATGATCCACCATGCCTGGCTAATTTTTGTATTTTTAATAGAGATGGGATTTCACCATGTTGGCCAAGTTGGTCTCGAACTCCTGACCTCAGGTGATCCATCCACCTCAGCCTCCCAAAGTGCTGGGATTACAGGCGTGAGCCACCGCACCTAGCCCCTAGTTAAGGCAGCATAACCTTAATACCAAAATTTGAGATGCACTTAATAAGAAATGAAAATTATAGGTCCGGCTTTCTTTCGAACAGATGCAAAAATCCTAAACAGAATATTAGCAAATTGTGTATCTAATGAGATATAAAAACATTAAAGTTAAGTTTACTCCAGGAGCAAAAGATTGGTTTAATAACAGAAAACCAACTAATGTAATTCAACCACATTAACAGGATAGAGGAGAAAAAAGTCTAGTCTCCTCAATGGATATTGCAAAAGCATTTAATAAAATTCGACTAGTGCTAAGGGAATTAACTACTGAAATAAAAGAAAATTTTCTTAATCTGGTAACTGAGGATATATAGAAAGTTTTCCTCCACTAACTGGAATATGGAAATTTCGAGGTTATTTCTATTTAACATTGTACTAAAAATTATAACCCAGGCATTAATGCATGAAAAAAATATATAAGAAATAAAATTGTCATCATTTATAGACATGATTATGTGTAGAAACGAAATCATAAAGAATCTGCAGAGTAACTGTTAGAATTAGTAAGTGATATTAGGCTGGGCATAGTAGGGGCTCACACCTGTAATCTCAGCACTTTGGGAGGCCAAGGTGAGTGGATCACCTGAGGTCAGGAGTTTGAGACCAACCTGGCCAATGTAGCAAAATCCTGTTTCTACTAAAAATACAAAAAATTAGCCAGGCGTGGTGGTGCATATCTGTAATCCCAGCTATTTGGGAGGCTGAAGCAGGAGAATCACTTGAACCTGGGAGGCAGCGGCTGCAGTGAGTTGAGATTGCACCACTGCACTCCAGCCTGGGCGAAAGAGCGAGACTCCATCTGAAAAAAAAAAAAAAAGAATTAGTAAGTGATTTAAGCAAGATAGATCCAGAGATATAAATATGATTCAGTTTCTCTCATAGCCAGACTACAAGGGTTCTAGACCAAAAAGCAGAAGTGGCTTCATTATTATTCCAGATGACCTGCTCAAAAATACTTGCTTCTGTGTTCCTGTGACTTGTTTGTTTGTTGGTATTAGTACACAGGAAGAGATGCTTAGATTAAGAAACACAACAATGGTACTAATGAATTGGGAATTTAGGCTGCTATCTGGCCATTTTGGACTCCTCGTGCCACAGAACAGCCAAAAAGAGAATTACATGTTGGCAGGAGTAAATGATCTTGATTATCAAGGAAAACCATGCTTACTTTTCCTTTTTCTTTTTCTTTGAGATGAAGTCTTGCTCTATCGCCCAGGCTTGAGTGCAGTGATGTGATCTCAACTCACTGCAACCTCCGCTCCTGGGTTCAAACAATTCTCTGCCTTAGCCTCTTGAATAGGGGGGATTACAGGCACCCTACCACGCCTGGCTAATTTTTGTATTTTTAGTAGAGATGGGGTTTTACCATCTTCACCAGGCAGGGGTCTTGAACTCCTGACCTCATGATCCACCCGCCTCAGCCTCCCAAAGTGCTGGGATTACAGGCATGAGCCACCGCGCCTGGCCCCATGGTTACCTTTTCACAGTCCAGGGAGGAAAGGGTATGTCTGAAACCCAGGGGATCCTTTAAACTTTTTGTTTAAAGTGCCTCCTAGTAATGTATGCCCAGTGGGAAAAGTTAATGGAAGTCTGTAGTTAATATAAACAGAGTGAAACACCCAGGGTTCAGAACTCTCAGAAATCAAGGTTTGGATCACTTTACCAGGTAAAGAACTCTGGACAACTGAGGAACATGGATGTGGTGCTAGAGGTAGACAGAACACTATATAACATACATACCTCCCCCAATATTCAAAACTATGGTTCACAATGGAACTGCTTGCCCAGAGGGAAAGTGGTAACCCAGGCAATCCCAGGACACGGCATCATGGCACATACCTATTGAGCTCCCGGATAGCCCGGAGTCTGCGGATATAGCGACGGCAACTAGGCAGAATAGAGAGGTGGTGAGCATGCAGGGTGAGAAAGAAGCACTCCGTAGGGAATTTCGGCTCAGAAAATGGAGGCTGATCGCCATCTAGGAAAAATAACATAATTCCCTAAATAAAATCTATTACATGTCTCAGAGAAAAAGCTCAATTCAGAAGAGAAAATTACATTTGAAGTTTTATGAAGTTTGAGGATACTATTTATTTATTTATTTTTTGAGATGGAGTGTTGCTCTTGTCACCTAGTCAGCAGTGCAACGGCATGATCTTGGCTTACTGCAAACTCTGCCTCCCTCCCGGGTTCAAGTGATTCTCCTGCCTCAGCCTCTTGAGTAGCTAGGATTACAGGCATGCACCACTATACCTGGCTACTTTTGCATTTTTAGGAGAGACAAGGTTTCATCATGTTGGGCAGGTTGGTCTCGAACTCCTGACCTCAGGTGATCCACCCTCCTTGGCCTCCCCAAGTGCTGGGATTACAGGCATGAGCTACCATGCCTGGACAGAAGTTTAAGGATACTTTATCAATTATAAATTTAAGCAATGTTATAAGAAGAAGAGAATTCCTCTTATCTCCATTCAAGGACCAGGTATTCTGTCCTACCTAGTTAAATGTGTATATAGATGTCCATCAACAATTTTTTTTTTTTGAGAGAGGGTCTTACTCTGTCACCTAGGCTGAAGTGCAGTGGTATAATCAAAGCTCACTGCAGCCTCAATTTCCAGGGCTCAAGTGATCCTCCTGTCTTAGCCTCCTAGACGGCTGGGAACACAGGTGTGTATCACCATGCTGGGCTAATTTTTTTCTTTGTAGAGATGGGGTTTCCTTATGCTTCCCAGGCTGATCTTGAACTCCTGGGCTCAAGCCTCAGCCTCCAAAAGTGCCCGGATTATGAGTGTGAGCCACCATTCCCAGCCCGTCAACAATATTTGGTGATATTCCTTACTGATGTATAAAAGTCTCCTTTTTTTGCCGGGTGTGGTGGCACGTGCCTGCAGTCCCAGCTACTTGGGAGGCTGAGGCTGGAGGATCGCTTGAGTCCAGGAGTTCTGGGCTGTAGTGCGCTATGCCAATCGGGTGTTCACACTAAGTTCGGCATCAATATGGTGACCTCCTGGGAGCGGGGGACCACCAGGTTGCCTAAGGAGGGGTGAACCGGCCCAGGTCAGAAACAGAGGAGGTCAAAACTCCCATGCTGATCAGTAGAGGGATCGCGCCTGTGAATAGTCACTGCACTCCAGCCTGGGCAACAGAGGGAAACCCCATCTCTAAA